TTGTAATCTGAACTGTCAACAGAAAATTCATCACAAATCAGCGGATTTACGTAAGCTGTTATGGATTGCTCCAAGTAGTTGTCAAATTTTGTTGCAATCTGTTTATGGCGCTTTGTAACAGGAAAAAAAAAAAACAATTGTAGTCCTTATCATGATAACTGTTAATGGTTTATTGCCAGATTTTTGGACCAGAGTTACAAAGTGTCAGTCTATACGAGATGAGTTGGTGCGGAGAATCCCATCAACTCGAGGCTTTTCATTGAAGGGCTCCCTCTATAAAATAAAACACATCACAATAAAATCGCAGAGCTTACATTTTCATATTATTATATTTACTACTAAAGGTATTGTTATTCTACTGTTCAATGAATAGCTGCTACAAGTCCAGCGCTGGACTGAGTAGAGCGCCGGCCGGACCAACACTCAGGGTCTTAAAATAATTGAGAAGAATTAGCTACCTTTCTATAACATCAAGAAATGGCTTAGATATTCTAGTCTTCTTGGATAGGGACGAATAAATGGAGGTCCCATCTCCTTCAGGGTGAGGGTAGGAGACATTAAATTCCCACGCACGAGATTACTGTGTGATGGATGTCCTCCCCTGGGTTGGGGTGGGTGGGTTTTTGTCTTGCGTTTCATACACGAGTCTGGCTCAGGCAATATGGGTAACCATGCCCCACGTAAAGACATTAAACTTTGATTACTATTACCATTGCTAGCTACAAACATAAACTCTGTAGCCAATCAGTCAATCCTTGAAACTTTCAATGTGTCTTTATGCTAAAAACAGAACAAAGGGTCTTATCGTAATTTCCGGCTGTTTATGCACATGGCCGATTACCCACACGGGCCAATTATTGCATGCAGGGAAAAAAAAAAGTCAACAGATGACCCACACTGGTGGATAACCCGCACCTTAAAAGGAAATTTGTACAACTATGCTCTAGAACTCACAATGTTGAATAATTGACAGAATGCGAATTCTTGGCCATATTTTGTGCAAATGATCGTTCAGCGCCATGTTGATTTGTTGATTTCTCAAAACAAAATCAATATCTCCAGTTCTACTGGGCGTAACAAGTCCCTTAAAACGGGACAATTCTCTTCAGCTGAAGCGAGTGTTAACTGGAAATTTTTTACAGATGCACCGGTTATCCTCGGTTTATTTTTGTCACCAAAGGTTTTGTTTACACAGGTGCCAATAGTAATTCGTTCGTCGTGCAACTTATTGAGTGTGAAATAAAATAGAGTCAGTATCATGTTTTCGTGCCACTTTGTGGCACTATTAATACAATAAAATTCATCTGAGAGGTGCAAATGCAGGTAGGAGAGAATTTTCTTCAATTCAACTGCCAGTAGATTTCAAAATTGTCACATAACCCACATCTCCCTATTACCTGCAGTGACACGCGTTTAAGGCAAAATCAACAGATTACCCGCAGGCAAACAGCCGGAAATTATGGTGGTAATAATGATCAAAGGTCATTTCCGTGAACGTGACAATCATGCAGATAAGTGATAAGAGTAAAGAAAAAATATCAATTAGGAGATTGTTACTTGATCTTATAACAAATTCTCTGAACTAACATCATAAGAATTGTCTGGCAGACATTAAGGAGAATTACTAATCAGATCTTGGGAGGGAAGGGTGAAACTGTTACTTCAGACAGACGATGAACTGCTTGTATCAAAACTTCAAAATATCAAAGTGCATTTTTAAATATTCATCCTATTTTGCCATAAGAATATTATTCAAATGCAAAGTTTTGCCAATTTTCAGGAAGTAGTCATTGCTAGTGCAGTCAGAACACCAGTAGGATCATTTAGAAGTTCACTATGTAATATTCCAGCCCCAAGATTAGGAACTATTGCAGTTAAGGCTGCAGTGGAAAAAGCAGGTATTGTATTTGTTGTTTTAACCAAGGGAATTTTGGACCAGATATATGGTGGTAAGGGTTTATTAGATATAAATTTTCGGCATATAGCAAGGTTTTTCCCTAAGTTTTTTAAGTGCCTCAGTTAATTTTTGTGAAAATATGATTTAACTAATTACTATACTTTAGTTTTATCATTAATCTTATATTTTAAGCAGTTATTTCTCATTAAAATTGCTAGCCATCACCAACTTGTGTTTAAGACAAGGGGTCATCCTCGGTGTAAAAACCTGACAAGGTTTTCTTTGTTTCGTGAGGTATTGTTTTGCTGTACGCTTTTGTTTATAATATTTTTTTTTTTATTTTTTTATGTCACTCATGAGCTTTACAGGTTTTTACACCGAGGATGAGCCAAGATAAGGTACCTTAATTTAGCTGCAAGAGATAGTCAGTCTACATCATCTCCTTAGCAACAATTGAACACATGACTGATATTTGAGGTGAAACCTTGCATAACAACCAGTAAAGAGTGCTGACTGCTAGCCACAGGCTCTGATATTCAATCCTGTAAAAGTTTTATCAAGACTTTCCCAATACTTATGTAGGTATTAAACCAGAGGATGTACAAGAAGTTTATATGGGAAATGTGTGCACAGCTGGTGAAGGTCAAGCACCCACAAGGCAAGCAACACTTGGAGCAGGTAAAAGAGTGACTACCATGTAATTTTTTTATTACACTATCACCCCTGAATCAAACATGAAGGTCACTAGAAAAGAGGAAATGATCACTAACTAAAGAAGCTCTTGATTGTTAAACAAATTCTTCTGGTCAGCACCTTAGGAAATGTTTAGAGAACAGTATGGAGAATATGCATACTGATATTAGGATTTAAAGGAATAAAGCAGAGGAAGGTGAGGGGTACAAAGAAATTTCTGTGAAAGTGTCGATCTTCTGTCCATCCATGACAGCTCGGCAAATGATCACAAACTTGAAAATTATGTTAAGTTTTATCCTCCGGTGGACTGTCTGCCTTCGTAACAGGTAGTCATTGTTTCTTTAGTCATAGGCTAATGATAAACTAATTAACACAAATCTCAGGAATAACACTGTTTGTGATGATTCTTAGGCTTACCAATATCGACTCCATGTACAACAATCAACAAAGTTTGTGCATCTGGCATGAAGTCCATCATGATGGCAGCTCAAAGTCTTGCATGTGGAAGTCAGGTTTGTTCTTGTTAAAGCTTTGAAAAATTAAAGTGAATGTGAGAAATTGATGAGTTAATAGGAGCTGGTGTAAGACAAAAGGTTGGCAGTCAAATAGTCAGAGCTATTTTAAGCTGTGGGGATTGAGATCACTTGCTTTTTTTTAATGGTTGAAACTCTGATGCACCTTTTAAATTCAGATGCACTCTTCTTTGTAAGTTTTCCTTGCTCGTATTATATTTGAACATAATGTTCCTTCCAGTCTACAATTCCATTTTATTAATAAAATGATGCATTCGTTGAGTTCAAGTGACTTGAGACTAATTTAGTCAATTGGAATTAAGAATGCTACAGAACAAAGACAATCGAACAAAAAAAAAGAGTAAAAGTATCTCTATGCCTTGCTCTTTTATGGCTCATTGTCTCACATGTTTGTGTTGTTACCTTGTTTGTTCTATAATATTCTGAACAAAGCAACCTTGTTAAATAAAGTGTATAGTCTTAGTTCAAAAGAAATAATTTGGTACTCACTGACTGTGAAGGAGGGGCAGGTCATATATTAAAACAGGTGATGAATTCAGAGAGTTACTTTATCTTGAACTTTATATTACCTTTGTTGTCAGGAAGTAATGGTTGCTGGTGGAATGGAGAGTATGTCAAATGTTCCATTTTTAGTTGGGAGAGATCCACCAAAGTATGGAGGACACAAAATGGAGGTAGGTAACATAGTTTAAAACCTCTGATAAGCCCCTGGAGGACCGTCTTGAGGGCTTATTGCTCTTGAGGGCATCTTTACAGGGACTTATCAGAGAGTAGGGGGGGGAGGCAGGGAAGTCTCTTTAAAAAATTCTGCTGAGGTCCTTAATAATATTCATTATTTTTTGTTGTACAGTTTGCTTGAAATGCCTGTAGCTTTGATGGAAATAACTGAGTTGGTGGAACTTGACCTGTCATGGAATGAACTTACAACTATACCTGAAAATGTTGCAAAATTAAATAATCTTTAAGATTATATAATTCCTAACATTTTCAGGTATAGCCATTCATTTATATCTTGAATACATTTTTAAGTATACTTGAAGTATACTGTACTTGTTACTTTGCCACTAGTGGTTTTACTCTTCAAGTTTAATTGGAGTGCGCTGCAAAATCTTCTGTACTTTTCAAGCATACCTCAAGTATACTTTTGGGTGTTCCAATTTTAGGTGGGAACAAGTATGATACAAGTATACTTTTTGTAGCTCTTCAAACTACAGTATACTTCAAGTCTGATGAAAGTATACTTTGTGTATTGTATTTTCGTTACACTGTGATTACAGAAATAGTATAATAATAAAAGTGTACTTAATTTTGGTAAGGGTGCCCAGCCAAATGGATATAGTAAACAGACTTTTTTTGTAATTAAAAGTTATGGTATTTGAATTCTGGTATTTCATTTATATTTTTGTGATAAGCTCCAACTAATTATATTTTCTTACTTTTCAAGTGTTTACTCAAAATAAAATGAGATCTGTTTCTCCTTTTTGTAGGATGGAATTGTTAAAGATGGTCTTTGGGATGTTTACAATCAGATCCACATGGTATGTAGAAATAAATATCCTACAAAAATCCACCATGCTTGGAAAAAAGAGCTTCAGATTTCAGCATCTTTCCTTATTTTGCCACACAGGGCAAGAACAAATCCTGTTTTTTGTATTTGTAATTTCTGCTTCATACAATAGTTTCTGCATTCCTTGTGTGTACAGTTGGCTTTTGTATCACTTCGAGTCATCTGATTGGCAGAATGCTAAATGAACTGACAAGTTGTCCATACAGAAACTTGTTAAGCTTAATGCTGTTTTTGTATACAGACCTTGTCAAACAATACATGTTCTGAACTCTGTACAGTTTTGCTGAAGTACCACAGCATGAGAAACAAATCCAAGAAAAAGCCCCAAAAAAATCTCAACTCCTTGATATAACACCTTAGTGCTCTTCTTATTTTTTATTACAAAGTTTGAAAGAACCATTAAATAAATGCAGGTAACTGTAAGTTTTGCCCTATTACACCCTAACATCAGTATGCATATTCTCCATACTGTACTCTATACATTTCCTAAGGTGAAACAAGGAGAATTTGTTCATTATTCAAGAGCTTCTTTAGTTGGTGATCATTCCCTTTATTCTCATGACCTTAAAGTGTAATTCAGGGGTGATATTGTAATTTATTATATGGCTGTGTCTCACAAGGACTGGGAACTACAGAATTCACAAATTTGATTGGCTGAAATCAATATTGAAAGTGGTCTAGATTTTCCCATCTAGACTGGCATCTAGACCGATCTAGAAAAAAAGGTACAAAGAATATAAAAATTGGCATATAAGACACAGCCATATGATAAACATCTTATTAACTGAGCTAGGTCGGTCTGTATGGGAGAATCTTGACCTTGGTTGCTGGTACAGACCTCACTGCATTTGGTCTGTACTGGCAACCTCAGTCAAGATTCTCCCATACAGACCTCCCTTTCAGTTAATAGGAACTAAGAAAAGTAGTCACTCTTAGGGGTTGAAGTTTAACCCTCTAACTCCCAAGATTTGATTGTAAATTCTCCCCTCTAGCTGCTACACACTTTCTTGTAAATTAGTTATGAGAATTTGGTGTTAGATCTTATCTACCTGATAAGTTTGAATTTTCTCATTACCTGTGTGCTGGATAATGTATGGGTATTAAAGGGAGAAGTTACATGTTAATCACTTCAGGGAGTTAAAGGATTAAGAGAGGTACTGGTACTGGTATGGACTAAAAAAAATGGTCATAGCTTGGTGGCAATAAGAGAGTTATAAGTCCAAAGAACCCTGATTGCATAGATGAATATGGAAAGTTGAAGAAATACTGAGGGACTAGTGTCCCATCTAAAGGAAGAAGTAATACTGCTCACTCCCTGTGATAGAATTCAGGTCATGCAGCCACAGCTTTTTCTCTCACCCACACGTGGAAAGTTTTTATTCCGGATATGGCTGTCACTATTTAAGCAGTGACACTAACATGCATAATTACAGCAGTTACTAAATGAATGAAGGAACAATACTTCTACTATTTCTAAGGGTAACTGTGCAGAAAATACAGCTTCAAAACTGGAACTGAGCCGAGAGGAACAGGATGAATTTGCGATAGGCTCTTACAAGAAGACAGCAGCAGCCTGGGAGGTAATTACTGATGAAGAGGGATTAGTGATGAAGAAAAACTATCTGAGTACTGGTAGTAGGTCCAGGTCAAACAACTGTGGTAGACACAAAGTAATTTCAAGTTGGAGCAAAAGAGTTGACTTGTATCTAAACAGACCTATGATAAATTTAATTTAACTCTCACTCGTACATCCAACTGGTCTTATTCTCGTCAACCTCACCAATTCACTAAAGGACATTTTCTAGCATTTTATTTAGCCTTCACTTGCCCTTTTTTTTTTATTCCAAACATAGCACTTAAAATGTACAAAGCTAAAGGTATAGCAAAATATGTGTTTTTGTCTTGTTATGAGTGAGGGACTAAGAAAAAAATTCTAATTCCCCGTGAGGAATTGAACCTCAGACCTTTGGATTGCTCTACCCCAGAGCCACACTCTGAGACTCTATGGTGAGCAAGGCCATTACAAAGTTCATATGTGACACACTAAGGGTGTAACTAAGTGTTGTTGGCTGCCTCACATAATTATTGTACAATAACCACAACAACTTCCACCACAGGTGGATAAAGTGCTGATAATACAGTACTAGTGGTACTCTGAAGTCACTTTTACCATCATGATGTATTCCATTTTAGGCAGGGAAATTCAAAGATGAAATTATTCCTGTATCCATTCCTCAAAAGAAAGGTAAGTCTGTATATCACTAGATGAAGATTAGCTTACCTGGCAGTGTGAAGAAAACCTATACAATTTCTTGTGAATTACTTAAAGAATACTGAATACTTTACTGTTGTGAAATACATTGGTGGATCGTCTGAACAAAGAAGCAAAGAACTCACCCATCACAATGCTTTTAGCTGTAAATCTCTCATTAAATTGTGGTTGTATACTTTGATCTATCCACACTAAATCATTGATTGTTATACATAGTCACCAACTATAGAAGTCAAAGTCAGGTGGAATTGGCCTAAATTTTACATTTTGTTTACTATCAGGACAACCCGATGTGGTATTCAGTGAAGACGAAGAGTACAAGAGAGTGTCATTTGATAAATTTGCAGCACTGAAGCCTGTTTTTCAGAAAGAAAATGGTAAACTTATTTATTTTGCTCTTATAAGTAGATTGATTAGTCAAAATTTTAGCCAGCAAAAGTGTGGCTCTTTCTAGCAAGTAGATGGGTTATGAGGCTTCTGCATTCATTGTGTGTACAGTTGGCTTTAAGATCACTTCAAGTCATCTGATAGGTGGAATGCTAAATGAATTGACAAGATGTCCATACAGAAACTTATTAATCTTAATGCTGTTTTTGTATACAGACCTTGTCAAATATCACCTGTATTTAAACTCTTTGATAGCTGAAACTCTTTGATTACTAAATTAAATGCTTTTTGGAATACTACAGCTTCCCTTTGACAAGCCTAATCAGGAAGTCAACAATTGGCAGTCACACTTTCTTTAACATATTTTAGCAGGAGGGGAAATTTTATTTCTCCACCACTTGGAATAACTTGATTTCCGATCAAATAGCCAATAATGAAACCAAACATTAAGTGATAAGCACAGGGTGTTATGGTACATTTTTCAAAACGTAAGCAACGTGTACATTAATTTTTACCATAAAAAGATCAAACGTAGTTGATAACTGGAGGCATGAAATTAGTGATAAAGCAATTCTGTTTAATATTCAAACTGTTCTGAGAAATTACAGCAAGAGTTCAGTAGAATTTATCACCATGATGACAAAATTTTTATTTGCATGTTTAACTGTTGGTTGATTTCGTATTCTTCAGGTACAGTAACGGCAGCTAATGCCAGCACTCTGAATGATGGGGCAGCTGCTCTTGTGCTCATGACCAGACAGGCTGCTGACCGGCTAGGAGTGAAGCCACTTGCCTCCATCATAGGTAACTCGAGAGAGTCTGCTAATTAACTTTATCGCCTGTTCATCAGGAAATGTGACCATCCAGAAAGGGTAGCCTGCAAGGTGGTCCTTATTAGTATAAGCCCTGCAAGGGGGTCTGTGTGGAGGCGCGGTGGCCTCATGGTTAGAGTGCTTGACTCCGGATTGAGTGGTCCAGGTTCGAGCCCCGGCCGGGACATTGTGTTGTGTTCTTAGGCAAGACACTTTACTCTCACAGTGCCTCTCTTCACCCAGGTGTATAAAAGGGTACCGGCAATTTAATGCTGGGGGTAACCCTGCGATGGACTGGCATCCCATCCAGGGGGGAGTAGAAATACTCCTAGTCACTTACAGAAACCGGAGTTAAGCACCGGCCTAATGGGCCTCTAGGCTCATAAACAGACTTTACCTTTACCTGCAAGGGGGTTTGGCAATAATAATGATACCACACCCTCGCAGACCTCTAACCTGCTTGCCTTGTGCAAGGCCTTAAACTTTCTGGCATGTTATCCCTAAGGATGACTAGCATCCAATTTCTCCTTACAATATTGCCCCTGAACAAACATACAGGTCATGAGAATAATTAGAAGTGACTACAAATAAAAGAACCACTTGACTGTTAAATAAATTCTCTTTGTCAGCAATGTATGAAATGTATAGAGAATAGTACGGAGAGTATGCATATTTAACTGATGTTGGGGTGTATAGGGTTAAGAAATGCTTATGCCTCAGAGCCCACAACTAAGATAAATTGTTAAATTAGTTCAGAAAAAACTGGTGTTGGTGACAGTGGTTGATATTTGAGTTATCTGAGGAAAAGTTGTCATCAGGTTCAAGAGAGGAGTGTATTTTCGTTTTTATTTTTTTGTTTTTGTCAAATATTATTAGTTTAGTTCATGAGAACTGATTGAAACACTATTGATTACATACCCCAGTAGTTTGTTTTATTTAAGAAAGCTATCTTTATTTTGTTCTTCAGGTTTTGCTGATGCTTCAGTGGCACCCATTGATTTTCCCATTGCACCAGCTGCTGCCATGCCCAAGGTATTTATTAAAATGTGAAAAAAAATTGTTTCATATGGTACTTAAAAAGTTGATTACTTTCCAAAGCATTTTAAAATTTTACATCTGCGCATGTGTGGCAAACCTTGAAGAGGCTTGGAGACATGCTTTCAGTGTGTCAAAACCAAGTTGTCCTGTAAGCAAACACACAAGTGAGTAAGACGCATTGCAGAAAAATTGCATATCAGCAGGGAACCTGTAATTAAATAATCTTTGTGTAAGTAAAGTCTTACATTTTCCTTTTTCCTCCTTTTGTTTCCTTTTATAGATTTACATGAACCCATCAATGTTTTTTTTTTTTTTTTTTGCATGTTTGGCGTGACAGCGATTGTTTCTTCTGTCCCCTTACACATGCCCTACATTTGATCATGTGTTATGGAGAGCAGGTGTCAAGTATGAATCTAGTAGTGGACTAACTCACCACAGATTTCTCTGTAGGTCAGCAGTAGGGCAACGAAGCACAGAATTAGAGGGTCTAGGTTTGATTCCTTGTGGGGAAGGCACACAAGTCTTGTCACACACCTATGCTTGTGACAAGATAAAAAACACATTTCTTATTTTGTCTTGTTTGGATTTCCCTAAGTTGTTACAACAAACAGGATTGAAGAAGGAAGATATTCACATGTGGGAGATCAATGAGGCTTTTAGTGCTGTTGTTTTAGCCAACATCAAGGTTGGTTTAAAGACGTTAGCAATGGAATTCCGAGAGACAACTTAATGTATTCACTTTTAGCATAGATCTGATTGGCTGAGCTACCTGCTAAACTACTCACTGAAGTGATTAGCCTGACAAAGCATGGTTGTCAATAAAACAAAAGTAACAGTTTGAATCAACAAGTTATTGTACTTCTTGTTTGCACTGCAGTTGATGGAGTTGGATCCCGAGAAAGTAAATATTCATGGGGGTGCCGTGTCCATTGGCCATCCTATTGGGTAAGTTTTGTTGTTGGTACTAGTCAGAAAAAAAAGAGGATCGATAACAAAAAAGACATCAATAAGGACTTGACTCTATGTTGTCATTGGGACGACAAAGTTTAGTAGTGTAGAACCTAGTAATTACGTTGTGGCAGCTATGCAAGTTTGTCTGGTATGTAAACTCTACCAATTATACGCGTTGAATTATCGTTTCCTTTTTGGTGACTGTTTTTTTTTTTTTTTTTTTGACTTTGCAGTATGTCGGGTTCACGGCTAATAGCTCACTTGACACACACTCTACCCGAGGGAGCCCTGGGTCTAGCAAGCATCTGCAATGGGGGTGGAGGAGCCTCAGCTATGGTCATAAAAAGACTCTAGGCAGGTGACGTAGACGTTACAAGTCAAATCTTACGTCAATTCACGACTTTGATGTAATCGCAACTGCTAAGTGAACTAGATGGGGTCTGACAGGATGAAATAATATCTGGCTGAGTGTACAGTCTATGTAGTTGCTCCACAAGATCTATCCGCACAGAATTGGACATTAAAATAATAATTCTTAAATATTTTAAGAATATTTAAAGGAGTCTTCTCAGTAATTCTTGGCTGGTTAATGTGTTAAAAGAAAACAGGCCACAGTCTCGCACTATAGGATAAATGCGGGACAAAAAAGTGTTTATTCTACACTTGAGTGATTATCCTAGCTAAAGAACAAAATGCAAACGAAACGGTGGAAGATTTGTAAGACTGTAATAGTTGTTGATCACAAAGTGTTTTCAACAAATACTTTGATTTAAAATGGTCTTCCTTTAAATGGCCCAGGGTATTAAAGAAATAAAAATACAAATGTTTCTTGGACTTGTTGAATAAAACTTTGCAACTATGAATTGATCTTAAAAGTGAGCGCAGTTTTTAGCTGCAACATTTTATCTTGTTACTGAAATAGCAGCAGTGTAAGTATTCACACCTAAAACCGTTCCCGGATCAATACCAGTACCTGAGCGACTGTGCACCTACTCCTCCCAAGAACGGTTAACTGATGAAAAATTTAGGGTTTATCCTGGGTTAGGGGAGGGGTGGGTGTGCAGTTGCTTAGACACAAAAATTCCTTTACAGTAAAACATGACACTTTCAAGGTCAGTGAAACCAATACTTTATTTTTACATGAAATGTTCACTTCCTGTTTTGCTCGCATTTAAAATACATAGTAAAAGTGTAAACTATATTAAATAATATACTCTTGAAAATAGAACGGTCTGTGTTCACGAGGTTTTGAATAATAGACCTTGGCAAATAATTTTTTACAGGGCAATATTCCTTTCCAACTAACAAAATTGTACTACTTTACATCTCAGTTTTGTTCCGGGCCTTTTTTCTTTTACTTTTTCTCTTGTTTTGTTCACAAATTCTACCGTTCTGAATAGGATTTGTTTTTCATACCACATTTTTTTAACGTTATTCCCGCCAACACACTTGGAAACAAAACTTCTCTTACAAATTTCAAAATTGTGGAATAATTCTGCACGAACCCTTGAATTTAATGATGTCACGTTACTTGGCAACCTCTGACGCCAAGTGGACGTTAAGTCGTATTTTAAAGACAACTCCCGCCAAAACAAAAGGTCATAGCATTACCACATTGGTCATACAAAACAGTCACCCCCACGAGACATCATTAACATCTGTTCGAGTTCACGGATCCTAGCGTACAGAACTCCCTGTTCCTCCTCTGCTTTAGCTCGCCACCAGTTCTCCACATCTTGCATTTGACGCTGGTGGTTCACCTAATAGAATAACAGTATTTCTTTTAATTGAATTTCCTCAACAAAGCAATCGCATCGACCAATCAGAACAGTAACCATCACAGAAAGCCATTAAGAAACTAGAGTAAGTAAAAGGCTGATAGTTTCTAAAGAAACTGTTTGGTGCTGCGTCGGTGGGGGTAACGAAATAATTTGAATATATCAACAAAGTTGAAATGGTAAATTGGCCACCGTTACGATTATAAAAGCTGACGTTTCGAGCTTTAGCCCTTCCTTTCGCTCCGACGAGGGGCTAACGCTCGAAACGTCAGCTTTTATAATCATAACGGTGGCCAATTTATCATTTCAACTTTGTTGATATATTCAAATTACAGAGTAAGTAAATACGCGTCAACGATCTAATACGCGAGAAAGCGCGGGTGAAAAAGTCGCGAGAGGTATTAATTTGTATCTGTTTTGGAAGACGTAGAGTGAGTGTTCCAGACCACTCAAAGAGCGGCGAATTAAATCCAATCTCTTCGTCCTCAGGGGACCATTAGGACTCAAATCTGAGGTAATATCTGAGAATGCAAGTTGACAGTAGTGTGACAGAATGCTGTCCTGTGCTTGAACGTTAAAGCGGACAAACATCCCTTAAAGAGATGTCGGGGTACAAAACTTATGCACACATTAACTAAGCATACCACCCAGTCCGTACTTCCAAAACTTGACGAATATTTAAAGTAAGAGAGGGTGATTTCTTGTCAGGGTGAACTAAGCAGTTTGGGTGTGAGTGGGTACATTCTTATCAAATTTTGTGTTGAAATCTGCCTGCCTTCCTTTTTTTTTTTTTTTTAAGTCTTTACACCCTAACATCAGTATCCAAATTCTCTATACTGTTCTCCATACATTTCTTTTGATACTGGCAAGGAGAATTTGTTTTCCAGTCAAAGTTCTCTGGGTTGGCGACCATTTCCTACATTCTCAAGATCTTAATAAATGACTCAGCTGTTTTACTGTAAGGAGAAATTAGATTCTGGTCACTCTTAGGGTTTAAACGACTAAGCCATAATGAACGCGCACCTGTGTAGCAGCTGAAGTCTCGTGCACTTGATGGCAATTTTCATCTTCAGCTACTGGTTGCGCCTCAATCACTGTGTCTAACACTTCTGCAACAGGTTTTGCTTCTATGATTGTACCCGAAGAGTGGAGGCCGGTTCTGTTGCCAACAGGTCTGGCTTCGATGACTGTCTCCACGGACCCGGTGTCGCTGATCTGTGTGCGGGAACTTGAGCAAGTTCCACTTGAAGCTAGCTGCGAGAAAGGCGCTACATAACCGGACAAACCAAAAAGGATTCTTAAATTAACAGTCGTATTTGGGTAACTGCAACACTGTGTAGCATAAAAGTTTCGCGTATTTTTCGGAATGTCGTCTATCTGGCGCTATAAGTTGTGAATTTTTGCGGAGTTTTTATTGTTTTTTTCTGTTTTGTTTTGTTTTGTTTTTTTCGCTAATGGGATCTTGACTTTAATGGATCGAATGTTACCCGCAAATCTAGTAAAATGTTAAAACCCACAAAACATCCCGGCATGCAACACGGTAGAGAGAATGCCATTTTTGGTAAGGTTTGGTTTTGGGGGAATTTAATCCTCCGTATATCATACTTCTGCAACTTGTAAGGTATACTTACGGGACATCCCTCCTTTGCTTTCCAAATGGTGCGTGCAGTCTTCACATGGACTCCTCCCCAGGTGAGGAGAGCTCATACTTCGTAAACGACGGATCCCTCGATCATTTATGCAATTCTTTCCTAATTCAGGATTACACCGTTCGTGTTGATCTATGAAAGGCATATTGTACCCAGCAGAAATCTGTCCAAGTCTCAATTCCAGTTTACTCAACCCTCCTTTTATTACACCGCGCATTTCTTCCCGTATGTTATTTCTGCTGTCTTTCAGGCTTTTACTAACTTCGCGACTGTCCTTGGTGCGTTCATGTTTTTTACTTCGACTCCCTTTCTCTTCTGATTGTTTCTCTTCTTTCAACTGTTCCGCGAGTCTTTTTTCAAGCCGTTGAAGTCTGTGTTCGAGTCTTCGCCGAGCGGAGTCGATTTCTGCAGTACAGCGCTCTTGCCACGCCTCAAGACGGCTCAGCTGCGCCTGACACGTGCCGCAGTGACTCTGGTTACAAGGTGTAGGTCCAGAATCAGCCTAACGAGAATAAGGCATCGTTCTCAAGTTTGCATCACGAAAGGTAGCATGTTCCAAGCCCTCATTCAGTGGAGGCGAGTGAAAGAGCGTACGAACAACAAACAGTAGTATTTATTTGCCTAAACCCCTCCATTCTTCCCACGCCCGTATGGCTTTTTCGCTCATATTCCCTGACCAAGAACTTGGCACGGGCTATACCAAATGTAGTAGGTCGTCTTTACATTACTATTACTATACACTAGCTAACATACCCGCGATCACCGAAGCTGGCGGATTACACGCGCACCCAATCGTTTGGCAAAAATACCTTGAGAGTGCTTAACAGGCTGCAATAGTCTACAAGGAGAGAATATGCAGTTCCTTTTGACATTTTTCTTAGTGGTGTTAAATGAGAAGACTACCTCTCACAACACACCCTACACTTTATCATGATCACCTGATTTATACAAGCACCTGACTAAACCTTTCATTATATAAACACATTCGGGATTGTCACTGATCAGAAGGGGGACCAAGACACAGGTTCCACTGCAGTTTTCATTCGAATACAATAGTTCTATGATTTAATTACACTTTCTATTCTCTCATAGTTACACCAGCAAAATTATGATAAGTGAGAAATTGACGAGGTTTGTGAGGACCGAGTATAGATACTAGAGGCGGTGCACGGAGAGGTAACTTTTGTTCCCATCATACCCTTCCCAAATCTTCCCACATCTGTTCGCCGCATGACACTACTAACCTCGATATGGTGCTCAACCTCTTTTCGTTCGTTACTCCTTCCGTGTTCATCGGTTTTTCTTTTGTGATTCCTGTCCGTTCTGCCTTTCTCCTTCTCCTTCTCTTTTTCTTTGTGATGTTTCTTTTTCCTATGTTCTCTGTCTCCATCGTCCTTGTCTATATGTGTTCTATAGTCCTTACCATCTGAGTCTACGTCCCTTCGATCTCTTCCCCTTCTTGGTTCCGATTTAGATCTGCGTTCTTTGTGTTTCGTTTCCTCGCTGCGTTTCTTTTCTCGAGATTTTCTCCTTTTTTCCTGACAAATAGTGCAGTCCGATTCACTTCCATCTTTTTCGTCACGACGTGAATATTTCTTATCTTTTTCTTTCTCTTTCCGTTTTTCTTTCTTTTCCCATTTTTCCCTTTCTTCCTCGTGACCTTTTTTATCTTTCCTATCCTTTTTCCTTTTATCTTTCTTTTCTCTAGTCTCTTCTACCTCTCCTTTTTCCTTTGACTCTTTTTTCACTTTGTGTACACCATTCCCCATCACCTCCCCTCCGGGAGATGAAAATTTCCCTTTAGGCTTTGCACAAAATAAAGCGCTCTTCAAGTCCGGGTCACTGGCGCTCCTGAACAAGGAGAAAAAACCTTTTTCCTTTTTGGTCTTCTTCTGGGACAGGCTCACTTCTACATCATCTCTGCTTGGAGCGCTGAAGGAAAGAGAGAACACATTTTATCCATCCACTACGAAGATCTCCATAGAATCTCGCGTTTGTCTTAGGTACATTCCTTAAAATGTTAGTTTTGAGAATTTCTTAGCTCAAGCAATATCCCCTTAAAGAGATCAATAAATTGTCGTCTCCTGTCTGCTAGCAATTTATAGATAGTGTAGGGAGAAATGGTAAATTGATCATTCAACGAAGTCATTGTGAAGGAGTTGAGAGAAGACAAAATTCCACGTGAAGTTAACAACCTTTCGCGTGCGCCAACACTGCATTCGTCCCAGTTTTTCTGGCTCGTGTCCAAACATATCGGCGGATCGGGAAACTGGGCTACGTATTCTCTACAAATTTAGTCGTGTAATGAACCAAAATGAAAATCATATACAAAGTAAACATACATGAGTCTGTGCCGCTAATGAAAAATGTTGGCTTGCAGAACAAAAATCCAAGACAAAATAATGACATGGAGGCTTGCGAAAAAGATAACGAAGCACTAATATTTAACCCTGTTTTTCTATTGTTCATCATTTTTTATTGCAACAGTTTTGAAACTTGGCAGTAAATATTAAATTGAGGGTTCAATTTAAAAACCTGTGTTAAACACGACAAACCACTAAATATTTCCTTGGCTAAGACTTAAATCAGGTAAGTTAATGATACAGACGCCCAACCACTCGTACAACTTGCACGAGAAAATGAACCCTCAAAGTAAAGTGAACTCTGTCCTAAAAAAAGCCAAAGAATCATAGATTCTATACTCTACAAAACGCCTTCGAAAGGGGATTTTTTTCTGTCAGAGAAAATGGCATAAGAGCGTCTCTTTCGAGATATAGATACTTTCTGATTAAAACAAGAGAGAAAGAGACTTTCATACTAGATGTTACTAAGATAAGGTTAAAAAGATTTATCATTTCCAAATGCATTATATTCGCATTCATCAATAAAAGTCATTCCTCTGAGAACATTCGATTAAGGAATATTTTATTCGCTTATGATCGATTGTAAATTCCCAAAAGAACAAGAAAATTAGCTTTATATATATCTTAAAGAATATTCTTCCTTTGTGTTAATAAATTTGTTTATTTAAAAAATATTAATCAGAACACCTATTGAGGCAGTGTTATCTTCAGTCACCAAAAGGCCACTCTTTCAAGAGTTGTCCTTGTTACTTCTTACAGCGACCAATGAAACTAGTTGGTAATAGTGGTCCAAAACATCGTCTATGCAATTACATATGTTATGACAATTGTACCTCGTTTAATGAAGAACAGAGACAGCATTTCTAAGTTTATGTAGCCAGTTTAGCCTCAGGCAAAAGGTCATATTGTTTTCCAAACTTTGCCAACACTCAATTCTTCTTTTCCTGTGCTTAATAAAACCATGATATCAAATAAACATCCTTAAAATACCTAATTCCTGATGAAACCTTACAACAAGGAGCCACAACAAAACACTTTCCATTTACATTATTGCAATCTAGACAACATTTTTGTCTAAATTGTACTAGTTGGTTCAACCGTGAAAAAAATCAGATAAAATCAAAATTTTCATAAGCGGTACTTGATTTGAACTACTGCCCATGTAAATTTCCCGTTTAAAAAATGAGTCCCTTAAACAATTCTCGTTATCACATGATTCGTTTTTCATACACTTAAACGAGTTTGGAATTAAACGTGATTCAAACACGCCTCGCTTATCTTAGAAAAAGCTCTAGAAAAACTTCCCTGATTTAAGTTCTTTCAAAATAAACAGCTTATCTTATATAGACTTCTAAATGAGACGTTACTGCCTTTTGTGAAAGCAATGTACTGTGAAATCGTGTCGTGTCGATTTCTCCTGTGTATAGTTTGCAAACAGGCGATAATCGAATGAAATTATCTATACAATGAATTGCTCCATGTTAGTCAGGCACTCAAGTCAAGTTTAGTAGATTTACTACACATTGGTCTAAAATAAAGACCACATTCCATCGACCGGTGGAAAGAAAAATTGGCTACAAAAACCGGGCGAAGTGTAGGACTACCCAGGTTTCAACAGAAAAACAAATTATGCTTACACGGGGATTATTTGTGCTTAAGAGACCGCCTGAAAGGTAAACCTTAACCTATCCAACAAGCTGACATAAACAGCCTATATATACAGTCTTACAAACTATGCAGAAAATCTTGATAACATTTTATAAATCGCAAAGGATGCGATGGCAACCCAAAACATAAAGTTCCGTCATCAAGAAGTTACCGTCTAACCTGCTCAGCGCACAGATCCAAGGACTCAGTCCTCCTCTAGACATCCAGTAAACCTTGTGTTTAAATTTGTCGATAGAGTTTATGAACTCAAACTGTCGACGAAAAACTGAGCGGTGGTCGACGCTTGAGGAACGTGTTTTACTGCGCGCGAGCGAAAATGGCAGACTAGTGCCGCGACACCTTGTTCTCCTAAAGTGGTTGTCGTGTGAATTCAAATGAAACGACTTCACACTCGAAGGAGCAATTACAACACCCCGGACAAAGGACCGCCCACAAAGCTTCCAGCAAATACACTAACAATGGCCATGACGTTTAGCTCGCATAAAAGCTAATAACGCTGTTATAACACTCCCTAACACAAACTGGCAGTTTGTGTGACTGCATTTACATTGTCATAGTTTTAAACCCAAAGTTGAATTAACTGGGTCAGATGCTAAATCATAGTCACTCAATGCATATCTCACTCTGAGGTATTAGGCAAAGTTGTTAACACATTTTTTAACATCTTATTAGGTTTCATTTAATTAAACAAAACCCGCAACTTTGTCAACTCCTAGTTAAGGGGGCTTTGAATGGGTTTCAAGAGAAAAGCTCTCGAATTGACAGGAACTCAAAGCTACAATTTGCATTTGAACAAAACAAAAGGACAGCTTTCAGAAACGATTTCGAAGCATTTAAAATCGGAAGCAGTATAGTCATTCAACCATCAACGGAACCCGTGATCCTCTGAATAGTTAATCCCTTGTAAATTTTAAAACAAACAGTTTAATTCTTGATGTATTGGAGATAGAAATGAAATTTTCTGTCTTTGCTGGTCACGCTATTTCATTTCGTCCTCGTTCACCCGAAACTCACTCATTTTTTTTTATATTCCACAAGGCTGTGTTCATTCTAAAATTAGCTGGAAAACCGACCCCTCGGGCGAATCGCGGTATCTTTTAAGAGTCTACCCAGTAACCCGAATAAATGTTTTGAGCGTTTGCGGTAAAACTCCAATTTCCTGTTTTCGTTAATACAGTTAAGTATATTGATTATTTTTCAAGAAAATCCACGTGTACTTGATCCAAAATGGATTTTTTAGATGAGATATGAAATCCCTTCCACAGCCTATATTTCACAGCTCTCCTTTAGCGAACCAAAATTGGTGATAAAGAGCCTGGAAAAGAGAACTTTATGATTCACAGTTGCACAGGTAGATGCTAGTCTTTCGATTGACCGGAAACTTGAGAAAACAAACCAAAAAATTTCAGAGTTGAAAGTGTTTGTTAATTTTCCTGAGGTTACGCCACTGATTTCTTCTAAATTGAGGTTATACGGTAACCCATCTTTCCTAACCTTTTTGCTTTCTCCTCTTTTACTCGGGAATGCAGCCTCTTTGATTCTCGTCGTCCATGATGAAAACATGGATCAGAGCGTGCTTCTTCCTACAGTGAATAGCGAAAAGAAAGACAAAATGATTCTCATTCATTACTGCAGTGTATCCTTGTAAACCACTTGAAAAAATGGAAGTAGATCAGGACGAATTCATTCCCGGCCACCTGTCTACCCTTTTCAATGACAACGAGCGCTCTAAACGTCAAAAACTCTTAAAACACTGAATTACTTTGTTACACTGACGTCAATCAAACAAGTAGGTCATTTAAGAAGGTTCAAAAGTGCTGTCCATACTGTGTCTGAGGTATAATTGATGGCCGGATTTAAATTACAAGATGAATTACACTTTAAGAGCTTTCCATCATGTCAACCAGTTATTACTGACGGCAACCATTTAATACACAATCGTAAGTTTAGCGAGGAATTTCAAAGTTCTCATCATTTCATATCATCCTTAAGCACACTGAATCACAACCTCGTTCCCAAGGCCTTCTCGGGAAAAGGCCCTGGGAACGAGGTTGATTGAATCAACCAGAAAAATTAATTCCCAGAAGGTTTATGACTCTTGCTGTTTTGATTTACAATCAGCAAATCAACACAAACACTAATGTGTGACAGTTTAAAGTAAATTTCAGCGGAATAGTTGGGAACATTTTTAAAACAGTTTACAACAACCAAGGTACTGCAATGTGTTCCTGACTTAAGCGTCATTTTCCCTTCCAATCAGATTTCACACAAAAAGAAGAAAAAAAAAAAAACCCATCGTAAATTAGTCACGTGACTTTCCCCTCCGTTGACGCGGCTTGCAAACTCTCATTTCAAATAGCAAGCCCTTCTGAACTGAACCTCTTTTAACTACTTTCTATGGTTCGAAGTATTTTTTGCTAAAGAAGTCCTAAAAACCGTAGACAGGGAAATCTTTGGCGAGGACAAGGCCGGAAAGTTGTCATACCTGTGATTTTAAGCTACTCTTTGAATGAGTCTTGCGCGATTTTTTCAAGGAAGCTTTCCGCGTCTTAATGAAGTCTCGTTCAATGGAACACATCTCGTCGTACTTAATGGTGAGAACTTTCGATTTTCTTTCCTCTTTTTTCTTCTTGCCCCAAGAAAAACGACTTGAAAAGTCTTGTTTATGTTCTTGTTTCTAAAGGAAGCAAATCATAAAAAGAGGATACTACAGGGTAGCGTAAAGATATGAATTTTATGTTCTAGTGGCAAGATAAAAATCTAACGAGTGAGCACAGTGAACGAGTTACATTTGTTCTTCCGCAAGAACATAAAATTCATATCTTGGAGCTAACGTATTACTTTCCTTTTATTATATAAACAACAAATAAACATGTTAGAGATTCAAAAGCTTATCACTACAAATATCAGTCATTTCAAACAACGAACAAACCATGTTTCGATATGACACATTCTTTCAGCAAAGTTTGAAAAAGCGGAAATACACCACCCGGTTCCCGGATGCAGTAGTCGTCTAGATTCTACAAGTGTTTTAGTTTCGGGTAAAACATTCCCATCCATATAATGAGTATATTTATTCAGTGTTCGCCAAACAGTTATCCGTAAGTATTGAACGAACCGCAATTATTCCGATGTAAATATTTTTTCGGAAACTTAATCAGTAATAATAATAATAATTATAATAATAATAATAATAATAATAACTTTTATTTATATAGCGCTCATATCCTGAGCTCATGGCGCTTTACAACACTGTGCGGGGGACTTTACCAGACTTCAAGCAGTTTACAATCAATTAAAAGTGAATCTAACAGATGCCCCCTTCCCCCCCAATTCCCAGTAAACAGGCCAGACCACATCACAGTAATCTCGTGAGTGGGTTCTTTAACGTCCCCTGCCTAA